CAGCCCGCCCCCCGCGGCGCCCCTGCTACCGGGCAGCAAATGGCCAAGCAGGCAGGTCGCCCTTTTGCTGTGTTGACGCACGACAAATGACCTGTTGCCGTCGTGCGAGTGTCACCACCCGCAGTCGCTGCATGCACCCTTTTGAGGAAAGTGTGTGTTATTTGCCCAAATAGTCCCCACACACTAAACCCTTATGCATTTTGTTGTGCATAAACTTGCAGGATTTCTTGCAGCTATAAGTTTGCACAAATTTTTATTCATAATTGTGTCCAAAATGTGCATAATTATGCACACACTGTACATAGTTATATGCATAAAATTGAGCATAATGTTATGGCTGTATGAAATCCTGCAATAAGTCTTATGCACAACAAAGTGCATAAGGATTTCATGTGCACGGCACACGTTTGTTCGAAACCAGTACTCTATGGCATTGTTGACCTCGCGTGCTTTGATCTCGTTCAGATTTCTCTCGCAGTGCTGCGGTGGCCCTCCGCCACCCCACGCGGACCCATGGGGGGCGTCCCCTGAGCTCCCCGGGCCCCCCGGGCCCCTCCAATTAGCACGTGTTATGCCTTATGGTATCATTTACGGCGAAATTTTACGAGCCGTGTCCCGGCGGAGTGCCGCTGCGCGCCGTTCCACCTCTGCATGGCATGGCGGCCCGAGACGACACCATCAATATCCGTTTTTGCGCGCGACGACCAAAAAAATATTTCAGTTTTGTCCCCTCAAAATGATGTTGTGATATCCAATTTTCGTCGAGACTTAGTTCAATACTTTATTGCGCGCTCGAATCGATATGGATTACATTGATGATTCGCCCCGCAACGCGTTCGTTTCCCCCCCGCGAAAACCTCTATGTTGGGTTAAAAATTACAAAGAAAAAGTGTATCAAGAATGTACGTTGTGGCGACCGCCTGGGCGGTTTTGCGTGGGGGGATCGCGTTCCGTGGGTGTAATTAACTTCGGGCGCGCCCATTTCGTCTTTGTATCGACGGCTGCCTGTCGGGGGCGTGGGGGGCCGCCGTGGCGGGAAAGTAGTACTCAGGTGCTTGAAATAATCAAAGACGCCTCAAAGTGAGTTGTTTTGAGTTATGCGTGTTGTGTGTCTTTGGTGGTGTTGGTGGTGGTGGTGGTGGTGGTGGTCTGGTTGACGGCGGCGTGGCATTGACGGCGAGAACCACCGCCATATTAGGGCGCGCACCTCGCGGATGGTCTTGGCGATGTGCCCCTTCCTGGTCTGCACTCGCTCGCCGTAGTACTTGTTGATCTGGTAGATGAGCTTGGACTGGGCGGAGAGCATGTCTGCCGGGACCAGCATCTTGACGCGTCGTGGAGGAGGAAGAAGAAAGGTAATATCCAAAAGAGAGGCGCTGATGGTTAATCCAATTGAGGCACTGCTGCACAAACACACACAAACACAACGCGTAGGTTTCGCACTTTTTTTCCCCCGTGGATTTGCGTTTCGGTTGGCTTTGTCGCAGCCTGCCCCGGTGCGCGGGGAGGGACTACCGCGGCGGCGGGAACATGTTCTCGGCGGGTCGCTCGGCGGGTACCCGGTACTGTGCTGAAGCTGTGTCTCGCGCACGGCCTGCGCTCGCTCCTCGGGCTCGCCTTGCCTCTCGTGGACTGGAGGCCGGCCCGCCCGGCCAGGCCGGTCCTGGGCGCGTCCCGGGCTCCCGCGGCACGGCGGGGCGGGGCGGCGCGAGGAGGGGAGGGGGCGGCGGGGGGCGCCGCGGCGGGCCAATGCCAGCGACGCTGGCCCGCCATTGGCTGGCGCGCTCCGGGGGGAGGGGCGGGGCGTCGCGGGAGGGGCGCGGCGTCCGCACACCGTCCAGCCTCCTATCTCTCTCTGTCACTCGCTCGCTCTTGTGTGTTTCTATCCATCTCTCTCTTTCCCTCCGGGGTGTGGTGTATGTACGGAGTGACGTGAATGTATCGTGCGAGGGGCCCGGGACCCGGGTGCGGCTCCCGGCCCGGCGGGGGGTTGCGGCGCTCGGACCCGCGATATTTGTCATAGGCCGGAGGTATTTCTCATACCCGCGGCTCGACTCGCGGTGCGGTGCGGTGGCGCCGGAGGATCGCGAGGGTGGTGGGGCCCGGGTGAACACGGGTGAGCCCTTTTCACCTGCACCGGTGACGGGCTCGTGCACTGCACATGTTGCGGCGCCGCGACGAGTTTGTTTTTGGTGAGGAAAGAGGGGACAACGAACGCTGATACAGGGGCGGTAACGAGCGGGATCGCGATCGATCGATACTCTGGTATCGTTTTGACGTGGTTTCTCACCGAGTGTGATGGATCGAACAACATACTACTGGCGGACCGGCCGGCCTGTCAAAGCGCGGCGAGGAGCACGGGCAGCGGCTGGGATCTGATCCCGCTCGCGGAGTGGGACGAGGACGTGCACATGCACGGGGGACTCGGGGACGCCCTGGTGACGGCGATGGTATGGGGCACCTGCTTGCCTCGCGCCCCCCTTCTCGCTAACACATTGTTCGACCTCAATTTAAATATCCTCTACTTGACCTTTCTAAAACAACATTTAAAACACACTCCACAATTTATTTTTATGTTGTTTTTTTTGTTTTTGTTTTCGCGTTGCGAGGGGGATTGTCTGGGCGGAGCGTGGGGCGGCGTGGCTCTTTGGCTGGGGCATTGATCGCGGCGGCCAACAGCGACCTGCCCCCCGCCCCTTTCCCTTCTCCCCGCGCTCCCCCCCGTGTCTCAATCCACCCCCTCGGAGCCGCTGCCGTGGTGCCTAGCCTGGGCCCCAACTACACACCCGCCCCGCCCCGGAAACTTATGGGGGCAGCCCTCCGGGGCGTGGCGCGGCGTGGCGGGGGAGGGCTTAGCCGCGAAGGGCTGGCGCGGCAGGAGGATTTGGGACCGCGTATATGGAGCGCCATGATGCTGGCTCCCGGCCACGCGCACAAATAAAAAGAGGGAAAAATTTTTCGCGCCAAAGTTTTGTTCATGACTCTGTGCAGTTCTGGTTACGAGAAATACAGACCCCAACAGAATATATAGAACGTCGAAGGTCTGAGCTCATCGCCATAGCTGAAGTCGCCTGAAATTTCCAATTAAAGTTTCGTTATTTTCAGTTGTAGTTCATGAAAGTTGAGCCGAATTTTATCAAAGTTCATCGAAGTTCCGAAATAATACACCGAAGTTTATGCCTTATTATTATTTCCTCGTGGCGAGGCGGCTGGTGCGAGGCGGTGGTGGAACTCGCACATGTGCCTTGTATCCTCGAGAGACAACACACAACGCCGCACACGACAAGGAAAATGGACGTTTCCCGAAATTTGGCTTGAAGTACGACATCCGGTTTGGAGGCGGTGTACGTCGCCGTGGCCGCGGGACGCCCGCCCCCGCCTCGCGCCGCATCTGGAACGTATTTGGGGGCCGGACGGACGGCGGCCTCTGCTCGGCGCGCTGCTTTCGAGGTCTCGGCCCGACTTTACTGTAATCACTCCCGACAGCTCCCCCCGCGTCCCGCAGCCTCCCCTCGACGACTCGGCTGCGCGACGTCCCTTCCCTCCAAATTTCCTCTCCGAAACCCGTCCATTCCACTTGGGTTCGGGGACAGTCCGTCTCCCAGCTGGCCGCTCGCCAGAGCCTCATGCAGTGCAGCATAAGGCACCCTCTTCTCTTTCCATCTACGACTGTTTTGTCGTTTCCCCCGCATCAGCTCCCTCGCCGGTTGTCGTCGGGAAGGACAGACCGAGACCGAGCCGCCAGCCCGGGAGCGGGAGCCCCTGGGCGGGTGGGCCGGCCGCCCAGCAGCCGTGCCCGTCGGCTGCCTACCCCCGCGCGGGCCAGGGGCGCAGTCGGCGGCGTTGCAGTAAAGTCCTACGTTGTTGCAGCTGCAGCCGGAGGGCGATCGATCCCGTTGTCAACTCGAGCCCGCACTGTTTTAGTTTGATTGTTTCTGACAGTCACCGCCCTCGCCGCCCCAGTCCCTGCGAGTGCACTCGTCTCGACAGTGCTCGTCAGCCCCTTTCTGCTTGCCGCGGCCAGCTCTCTCTCTCTCCTAGAAGGCCCTGCTTGCCTGTCCCGCGGAGGCGGAGGTTCCCCTTCACGCCTCGCTCCCCCGGCCCCCGGGCGGCCCCCGGGTGGGCCCCGGGCTCGCCGTCGGCGCGCGCGACGTTGTGGAACAGACCGCAGACCCGCCGACGCCTCAGCCCCGCCACCACCACACTCCACCCGCTCCTCTGCTTCTGCCTGTGTTTCTTTATTCCCGTGTTTCCGAAAGTGAATCACACTCGTCGTGTACTATGTAACGCAACAGCGCGCGCGCCGCCGCGCCGTCAGTAAGGACGCCGCCGCCGGCAGCGGTTCATGTCTGCCTGCCTTTCCCCGACTCGGCGGGCATCTGCCTGTCGGGGAAGTGAAGCAGTGGGCTGTGTGGCTCTTCACTCTGCCGCCCCTTGGCCGGGCCGGCCGGTCATTCTCCTCCCCGACTGCTGTAAGGTGGCTGCGCGGGCCCCGGGCCAGGCCGCAGCCCCTCTTCTCACCCCCCCCCCCTCCGTCGCCGTGTCGTCGTCGCGGTGATGTGTGGCGTCGCGAGCCCCCCTC